GTGCCTTCTTTAAAAAAAAAAAAGAAAAAGAAAGAAAAAGATTTTACCATCACATTAGGTTTGGAAGGTGTTATTGCTTTGTTACTGGTAATATTTCCGTTTTCATACATTAGGATATTTTGGATTAAAAAGGTGAAATGAGGGGGGCGCCTGGGTGGCTCAGTCGGTTAAGCGGCCGACTTCAGCTCAGGTCATGATCTCTCGGTCCGTGAGTTCGAGCCCCACGTCGGGCTCTGTGCTGACAGCTCAGAGCCTGGAGCCTGTTTCAGATTCTGTGTCTCCCTCTCTCTGACCCTCCCTTGTTCATGCTCTGTCTCTCCCTGTCTCAAAAATAAATAAAACATTAAAAACAAAAAAAAAAAAAGCTGAAATGAGGGTTGCCTGGGTGGCTCAGTCGGTTAAGCATCCAACCTCGGCTCAGGTCATGATCTCGTAGCTTGTGAGTTTGAGCCCCGCATCTGGCTCTGTGCTGACAGCTCAGAGCCTGGAGCCTGCTTCACGGATTCTGTGTCTCCCTCTCTCTCTGCCCCTCCCCTGCTTGCACTCTGTCTCTGTCTCTCTCTCAAAAATAAATAAACATTGAAAAAAATTTTTTAATGTGAAATGATGTGAGCAAGATCATGCAGCCAGTAAGTGGCAGGGCTGAGACACAACCAATTTGCTCAAGCTACAGTGAGACACATTTAAATTCAACAGTATGTGGAAAAATATCTTCCTCTGAGTCATATCTGTACAAAGTACAAATCTCTATATTTCCCCATATATTAATGAAGGGGAATTAATGAAGTAATGAAGTGTATATTAATGCAGTAATGAAAGACAAGTATTTTAAGAACTAGCCACAGTAGTGGCTTTCAAATTTTTTGACCACACTCTCTAGTAGAAGATAAATTTTATGTCACCACCAAGGGCATACACAACCAAGAATAAAATGGAAACAGAAGCTCACACAATAATACTAATAATTCCTGTAAGTGGTGCACTTTGACTTTTCTCTATTTTAGTTTTTTAAACTACTGGTCTTTATCCACTAAATCTCCCATCATGTGGAACTCGAAACACTGATGTAGATTTGGTGGGAAAAACCACGAATTCCTTCCAACATTGGCATTCAGTAATTCTGGGTCTCCCCAAGCTGTGTTATATACTTAAAGCAAAAAAAAAAAAAAACCAAAACCCAAACCCTAAATTGAAGTGATTTTTTTTGTTTCCAGTTTATTGCTTTTACTCTTACCCCAGCTCCTTGGGCTTTCTCACTCTTGATTCTATTTCTGGCATTATCTTTCCCCACCTACACTACACCACCTGAAAACTCTTTCTTTTCCCTTTACCTGAGTAATTGTTGAAAATATTAAACTATAGAAGCAAGAACAGATTGTAACATAAGCACAGTTGTTCCCACACGGCTGTGTTTATGTACACATACATCCCTCTTCATTTCCAGGAATCAGTCGCACATCCTCTGATCATATTAACGACGACTCTACTTTATTTTTGTCCACAAGGCTGAGAAGTGGTGGTCCACGCGTTAAGACGAAGAGAGGCCGCTACTAGGATAGGGGGTGGTTGGTCCCGAGCATTAAATGAGGTGATGTATGCTGAGTGCTTTAGACAACATGTGGCACGAGGAAACTGCTCAGTAGTTGTTAGCCAGGACGACACTGATGGTGACGGTGAGGACATGACAATTATATTCCTGTAGTTCAGTAGTTTAGAAACTCTGCTGATTAAATATTATGTGGTCTTGAGAGGACTTGTTCAAGCGAATCTGTCCTGCCTTCTAAAAAAAAAAAAAAAAAAAATCACCTTTTTTTTCTAAGCCTTGTTCTAATTTTTTGAGTAGTGCAAGGTTTTAACATCTTTACTGGCCTACTGTTTCCCTATCCTTTATTCCTCCTTTTTTTTAAGCCAGAGCGCGTGTTCATCTCTCATTTCTTGAGTCTCAAAGGCTCCTCACGGCATTTCCATGGTGTTGTCAGCAAGCTGTCTTGTGCATCGGCCTCTGCATCGGGCGCCACTGGAGACTTGAGTCGACTTAAGAGGGCCCACAGTCTTTGGTGTTTGCGTGGACTCTGTTTCTCTCCCAGCAAGGTTTTCAGTTTGGAGATTACTCCTTTTGAAGAGCAAAGAAAGGTGGGGCGCCCGGGTGGCTCAGTCGGTTAAGCATCCGACTTTGGTGCAGGTCACGATCTCACCGTTTGCGAGTTCGAGCCCCGCACCTGGCTCTCTGTGCTTCAGATCCTCTGTCTCCCTCTGCCCCTCCCTAGCTTGTGCACGCTCTCTCTCAAAAGAAATAAACATTGAAAAAAAGAATAAAGGAAGGAAATAAGGCCCAATCAGCCTGGTCTTCTAGCCACCTGTTAATGCCATGCTGTCCTCATTAACAAGCGGGCCTGTCATTTCGTTGTTCACTTTATTCTAAAAAGCCTCCTTTCATTTGGGGGTTCGGGCTTCTTGACACATTCAGGTGATGGTTTAAAGTCCCTGGAGCCAGCCTGAGGGGCTTAAATCCCACCCCTGCCCCTTACTAGCTGGGGGATGTTGAGCAAGTTCCTTTTGGTGTTTAGATTTCCCCATTTGCAGAAGGATTAATGTCTTTTTCGTGGGGTTGTTGGGAAAAATTAAGAGTTGTAAAGAGCTTAGAACAGCGGCCAGCAGAAAGCCAGCCTTGAATACCTACTGGCTGTTCCATATTTTTATATGGAACTCTCTGAAGGCGCTGGCCTTTACTTTCTCTTTAGAGTCTGTGTATAGAAGGAGACTTTAGAAAGGTTCCTGGGCGCTTGGGTGGCTCAGTCGCTTAGGCGTCCAACTCTTGATCTTGGCTAAGGTCGTGATCTCACGGTTCGTGAGATCGAGCCCCGGGCTGGGCTCTGTGCCGACAGCGTGGAGCCGGTTTGGGATTCTCTCTCTGCTCCTCCCCGACTCTTGCGTGCACTCGTGCATGTACACTCTCTCTCTCTCTCTCGAAATAAATACACTTAAAAAAATAAAAAGTAAAAGGTTTCTAAGTGTCTAGAGTCTCTTCCCACAGGTGACATTTTCTCTGAACTTTTTGACATCTACTTTCATAAAGGCCGGGAGATGTGTCTGACTACATTCAACATTTATTTTATTCCGTGGTACACATACCAGGGTGGCAAAGTCATTTCTCCTCCAATTTCCCATCACTTCCCTGTTGGTGCCTTTCCTCCTTACGGGTCCAGTATCAGCCTTCCCTGGTATGTCTTCTAATTTCTAAGCAATGGAACCATTAGCAGGGCAAGTCAAGATGTGTGAGATGGTCTCTTTGTGGCAGGATGAACCTCCAGTGGATGTTAAGGTCCCCGTTGCACTGTAACTTGCCTCCTTGCCAGTGTTTCAAAACTTTCAAGTAATAATAATACTGATACTGAGTATTATACTCAGTATATGATACTGAGTATAATACTGGCCTGATACTGAGGGTGAGAGTATTTCCATCTGGAAGCCAAAATGCTTGCCAAAGACAGAGGTAAATTATTCAAGAGCATCAAGATTGAGTTTCTGTGCAGTTGTCAGCAGGAAGACAGCAAACTGAGGACCAATGTGCCACACACCTTCAGCCGTTGGAGACAAAACGCCGAAACACGGCCTTACCCTCGGGGAGCTTCCAGTCTACAATGGCTCTAAAGTTAACTTGTCTCCTGTTTCCAATTTAATCTGGAGTAATGTGTCTCTTACTCGACGAGGCAGAGGGGAATCTCTCTTCCTTCACGTTTCGTTAAATTCCCAAAGCACCTAGCTCAGTGATGTTCCTTCCTCCAGCCCTCCGAGGAGTCACTGACTTGGTAGGGGTCCTGCTTCCACTGAAATTCAACAGTGACTTTAACACATCCCCTTCACCTCCACACAGAAGTTTTAAGGAAGGGTCAGCTTGTTAGAATAATAAACTGACATGAATTCAGAATCAGGGCAACTTTGAGAGAAATGATGCCTGTAGAATTTGGGAGGGGTGGTGTCCCATAATTTGGGAACTATGGAGTCTAACAACTGGTTTCTTTCCCATAAAACAGAAGAAAGATGGGGAAGGAAGAAGAAAACGTGTTGGCTTTGGGGAAGTTTCATTCACTAAAGGAAAATGAATGACAATTAAAAAAGCAAGCTTATTAAAAGTTTGCAATGGTTTTTAATGAAGAGAAGGGTCCTTAAATTGTCTGATTGCTTGATTATTTAACCTGGTTTCCCTTTTGGTTAAAACAACACTTTCATTTCTCTGAATAGGCGAAACCAATCCATGTGGGAAACATTTCTTTTTTAAAAAAGAAAAAAAATTTTTAGTGTTTTTATTTATTTTTGAGAGAGAGAAAGAGCATGAGCAGGGGAGGGGCAGAGAGAAAGGGAGACACAGAATCCGAAGCAGGCTCCAGGCTCTGAGCTGTCAGCACAGAGCCCCACGTGGGGCTCAAACCCACGAACCATGATATTATGACCTGAGCCGAAGTCAGATGCTTAACTGACTGAGCCACCCAGGTGCCCCCTTGAGGGAAACATTTCTAACTGGTCAGGGGGGGAAGGTGCCTATTCTCCTTCACCCTCTATTTTAATATTTCTTAACATAGATATTTCTCTTTTCTTCTGAAACAATACGGCATTTTGATCAAGGCCTATTACATCTCGTGACATCCTGGACTTCGTCCTCACAGTTTCCAAAGTGATCAGTTTCAATAAAAGAACTTTAAAAAAATGATTTAAAACATTTTTTATAATAAACTGAATAATGATAACAACAGCAAAAGTGACGTCCTGAGTAAGCGTATCAAACAAAACATATTTAATGTGAAACACGACATAACCTCGCTGGATTTTAAGTAAGCCTCACATGTGCTCGGGGTCAGGGCACAGAGGGGTGTCATGGGGTGGTGGGGGTGACATGTGTGTGCTAAGTACACTTAAGGACAGTGATGGGTTCCAGGGAGGGTGGTCGGGTGGCCTGGAAGGCCTCACTCTTGACACGGCACCAAATTATTTGTCTTCATTAGACACCTGAGCAAATGAGCCTGGGACAAAGGACAACGGATCCAGCCAGAACTGCGCCAGGGAGGGAAGGGTGACTGAGGTCACACACAGCCTGTCGCCATCTCTCTTATGTACGTCCCGCGCCTGACGATGTGGCTTCTAACATGAAGACACAGCGGAGGGCTGCTGGCAAACAGCCTGTCATGTAGTCATTAGGAACAGGGACACTCCAGAGAGAAAAACAAATTCTAAGAGACAGGCATCTCAAGAAAACCAAGACTCTGCAAACTGCAGACACCAGCCAAGGGGCGGGTTTCACCTGGGCCCGTGTGTAAAGGGCTGCTGGCTGCCTACTGATCTTTCCTGTCATACCTGGGCAAGAGTGACAACAAATCACTGTCAGCCACCCCATCTCTGAATGCAGTGGACGGCAGTCCATGAGCACACCTGGGGACCTTCCTACTTAGATTACCGGGAGGATGAAGAGAAGAGAAAATTGATTTATCGATGCCATGCACCCTGGACGGAATCAACACACAGGAGTTTGACACTTAAGACCCCGATCAAATAGCAGTGGGAACTGCTAGTCTGGTGGCAGCGACTCCCCGAGTGACCTGGGGCAAGTCACTTTACTTCTTTGCTTCGGGGCTCCACATCTGGAAAAAAGGGGACTGCCTTGTTCAGTGACCACAAGGGGAGACTGTGGGGCTCAGCTCAGGTGGCTAATGAAATCCAGGCGGGGCTTGGCCCCCTTGTGGGTGCTCTGCTGGGGCAGTCCCAGCATCTTAGAGATCCGCCAGAGGGTGTGAAGCAAACTCTGCCACGCTCCAACACGAGGTCCTACTAACAGGCCGTCTTTGAACAAGATGGACGGCACATTCACCCTCTCAGGATAGATTTGTGCTTGTAAATACTTCCAAATACACTGGAAAGGGAGCGCCACACAAACCTAAGAAAAGTGGTAAGGGTCAACTGGTGTTAGAGGAGTATACCCCTGTGCCTCTGAAATGGTTTACAGAGCCCGGTTCTGATGCACACGAAAGACTCCAAGCCCATCTCCCCACAGTATGTGGCTTGAGGTAATGCTTACCTGCTCTATGTGAAGGTTGTTCTCACCTTCTGCATTTTTGTTTTAAGTTCAGGAACACGTTAGCTGGGAATTTCTAAGTTGTCCTGCAACCACAAAACCAGAGCAATCTATCCAGACCCAGCTTCTGAAACCATGGAAGGAACCAATCACTAGTTCTCTTTGGAATCTAACGAAGAGGTAGTGAAAGCCCCAGGAACACAGGTTCCTCAATCGCACTGTTAGCAGACGAAGGATTCTTTTTTCATGAGCAATAAACTTTGAGACTATGCAGTTTGGGATTTGGGTATACTTCGTTTCTGTGAGAGAGATTTATAATGCAAAGGGTACAGTTAACATGCTGTGATAGTTGATTTCATGTGTCAACTGGGCTAGGCCATGGTACCGAGATATTTGGTCAAACATTCTAAATGTTTTTGTGAAGGTGTTTTTTAGATGAGATGCATTTAAATCAGTAGACTTTGAGTAAAGCAGATTACCTTCCATAATGTGGGTGGGTGTCACCCAATTGGCTGAAGACCTTAACAGAAAAGGACTGACCTCCCCCAGAAGGGGAATCTGCCAGCAGACTGTCTCTGGTGCAGCTCTTCTCCAGGTCCCCAGCCTAAAAGCCAACCCTGTGAGTTTTGGGTTTGTCAGTCCCCACAATCACATGAGCCAACTCTTTAAAATAACTCTCTTTCTCTGCGTATGTGTATATATCTATACACACACACACATCTACATACACAACCTATTAGTTCTGACTCTCTGGAGAATCCTAACACACACACTGTGGTAAATACTGCCATTGCTCACCAACACTTCCGGTTTTCTCTCCTGGGTCTGTAAAACAAAAATTACACTTTCCAGGAAACTTAGAGTAAACCACGACCATGTTACTTGCTTTGGCTAACAAGATGGAGGGAAAGTGATGGGGGGGGGGGGGGGTCACCACCGGTGAAAGCATTTAAGAGCCGGTATGATTGCTTATGCCCCTCCCCTGTAGCACCGAACCTCAGTCCCACCGAGATGGTAGAAACAAGAGTCAGAGCCCCCAGGTGACCACGATGAGCGGAATCCCACCGGCTGGCCCCTGTGGACGTGGAGCATGAGTGAGCATCATTTGTTGTTTCAAACCACCGAGATCTGGGGGTTGTTTATGATTGATACACCACTTGGGAAAAAAAAAAAAAAAAGTTGTCCTGGTGATTTGTACTTACTGACTGAACCCTTTCAAGCCCCTGTCAAGAAGTGATAAATTATTGAAGCATAGCATAAAGTGTTTTCTTTTTGGTGTGCACACAGTAAAACCCTGTGAAATGTTCCTGTTCACCTTTCCTCAGTTATTAAAAAATAATTGTTTCCAATTACTCTGATCTTTAAAATAAAGCAAGACAAAATGCCACATACACTTCCCCGGAACTGGCACCACCCCTTTCCTCCCTCCTTCCCTCTCCTGCCCCCCACAACATCCTTCAACCAGGCAATTGTTTGAAATCACACGACTGGCTCCTGGAACAGGAATGCTGTTCAGCTTGGGGAGGGAGAGAGGAGGAAGGCCAATACAACGTCCACACAATTGTCTGGTATTCATTCAACCTCAGTGCCCAGATACATGTGTTGTTCCTAGAGACCGCATAAACTGCTCAGAGAATAAAGCGGGGTTGTGGAAATCTCATTAATAAACTGTGAAAACCCTCTCAGCGGGAGTCACATAATGCAGAGGGGGCCGCCTTGTGCCAAGCAACGTGAATGCTTGGTGCTCTGCTCCTGGACAACATCACACTCCCACACAGCTTGGATCTGAGAGAAAGGCTTCCCAGGAGCCCCTCCCCAGCGGGGGTGAGGAGAAATTCTCCCCCAATCACGGTGAAGCAACTGGAACCTGAGTAAGTTTACAAACTCCAGGCTTTGCTTTAATGGAAACCACTGCCAGACAGACATATGTACGTGACTGGCTCCTCCCCTGCTGTGTTTCATAAAAATTAGAGAAGGACACTGATGCCAATGCTCCTGAAAGAAGGCGAGAAAACCTAACAAGTCTAACTGCACAGGAGGTGCAAGGTGACTGCAGACAGACCTGGCTTAACTGGGGTGCTTTTTGCTAACTGGAGTTTGGGTCTCCCCCGCAACTCCATTCAGATTCCCACTGCTGTTGCGGATCCCCAGCTCTACTTTCTATCCAGGTGACAGAATCAGAGGCTGAACTTCTGACTTCACAAACCCTTCTCAGCCTCCGACTGAAACCGGAGGCCTCTGTCGAACATTTCCACTCACGCATTTTGTGTGGCAAATCGAAGGCGATGGGCTAAAGAAGGACGTCTCTAAAATGTTTTAATTACCACCGCATGCATCCTTTCATCAGACAAGTAAGTAAAGCAATCAGAGCATATGACACTGCTGCAGCCTTGGGTTAAAATCACGTACAGGGAAATAGCTTTTCTTTCTTTTTTTATTCTTTTGCTTTCTGCACACTGACACAGAGGTAAAAGGAAATGACTGAAACTTAAATAGGAAGGAACGCGTCGCAATTACATTATCACAATTCTGTACATTTCTCTTCCTCGCAGGTCAGTGAAAAATCACCAACTATTATGAAATGGGACAAGTGGAAGTCACAAAGGAACCCCCCAAAAATCTCATAAAAAAATATACCCCAGTATGAAAAGTATTGTACTCCTGGCGTCTTCACATCCTTCTCTTCTGTGTACTTATATACAATACTGAAAAGAAAAAATAAATATGTTGAAAAAAACCTGTGCTGAAGTCTCACAACAGCAAGTTCTAAAAGCAAATAGATGTTGGCCTAACATCTCTGCAAATTTAAAGGGAATTTTCATACGACACGAAAAAGTCTAGGACGACTGAAAAACTAATTTCGTGAATCCAGACGCGCGTCTGATGTCTTACAGGCCTGTGTTCTAGTGCTGGCTGTACATGTGACTGCACACTGAGACCAGGAAGACAAAACAGAAGGGATATGAGAATCCCTGGAATCTAAGAATGTTTTATAATTACAGATTTATTATGCTTGTAGGAAAGCAAATCAGTAAACCCACCAGGGGAGACTTCAGATTAACAATAAAAAACATTTCCATCCATCTCTCCAATAAAAACTCTAAACTTGCTGTTTACTATTCTTTAATTACAACGCGATAAACAAGGGCTGAGGAGTTTTTGTGGGTTTTTTTTGTTTGTTTTGTTTTGCTTCTGTTCTTGTTTTTAAAATACTAAAAGTTTTATTCTGAGTTCCCTTTTAAAATACCAACCTTTGGTGTTACCCAAAGTTTTGCTCACCTAGTCCTCTTGTGAACACCCAAACTGGACCTTTCAGGGTATGTGGTGGTCCATGAGAACAAGATGAAATGTGAGAACTAGGGGACTCTGGTCAGGCTTTCGCCGCAGGCGTTCTTCCCACCCCCTACCCCCCTGCCTACTGAGACTCCGACACGGCTCTTCAAAGTGACATTAAAAGGCATTTTGACCAAAGAACGTAGCACATATTAAACAAGTAAGTCGGGATCCTCTTTAAGAGACAAAGATGTAAATCTGGGGGGGCTAAAGAGAACTACTGCTGATTACATCGTGGAAAAAGTTACATGAAGGGAATCATCAGAATGACAGCAAAAACACACCTGGGAAACTGGACAAGCGCTAGATGTGGTGTGCATGTGACAGGATCTAGCCTGTCACCACTCACAGGTGGCTACTGCTATCAGCTGTCTGGAGATGGGCAGAGAGCATAACATTTCTAGTAAATGGAGGGAGTAAAATAAGAATAATATAAAAAAAATAGAGAGGAAATTTTCCATGTTGGGAAGACTAAAAAGCCAGCAAAAGAAGTAAAAAAAAAAAAGAGAGGACGTGAGAAAATGTGGTACTGTAAGAACAGGAGACAGAACACCTACAATGAGTCAGGATACTTAGTTCAGAGCAGAGATACAGCTGTAAAGGCGGATGAAGAAATTACCCAGAACCAAAGAATGCACGTCCGTAAAAAACCTGAACTCCATTTGAGGGATGGGACCAAAGAGTGGGGATGGGTCGAAGGGCAGTTACCACAGTTTTGATGTCTCTCCCTTCCCCCTGAGAAACTCAAATACGACTCTAATGATAACTGTTTAAAACAAGGTACTTAAAAGTAACTGTAATAATCATAGCAATATACTAGCAGAGTAACTTTAGAACCCTATTTCCTATTTTGTCTTTTTTTTTTTTTTTTTTTGCCAAACTAAAGGATGCAAACCTCCACAACAGGCATTTGAACGTTTAAGACAGAAAAGGACACACAGGACAAGCTGACTGCCAAATGATGCAAACCAAAGACAGCGGGGAAACAGGGGCCATCGTTTTGGCTCCAACTGCCACTGTGAGAGGCAGTGTTGGGGGAATATAATCAACTGTATTCAAAAGTACCGGGTTCTGGGTCAGTATACTAATGCCCCTCGGTTCTTCATTAGTAAAGAGAGGGAAGGTGAGAATGCCTATTCTAAAACTCCAGGAGGCATCTTAAAAAAAATGGTCACAATGAAGATCCGAGATATAAGAAGTTAAAGATTAACAAGGCAAAACTAAAACTAAACTTTTGAATTATGTAGAAAATCTGCTGGAGATCCTGATTATAAACAAAAAGGCTTATTTTGGATGTTACACAATTGTACAGTGAGAGAATATTACCATTGTTTCCACGGATAAATGCATCCCCGTACTTATTCTTCAGCTGTCCATTTACATATTCTTCCGTCTGCTCCAAGGCTATATTCATGTAGCCATCCAGGCAAGCCAGGACCCCTGGAGGCAGATTTAGTCAAAGAGAAGATACTTAAAAGCAAGTCAGAGTTGAAAATTACAGGGTATACCTTAGAGCTGACAATCTCTTTATTTGTTAGCTCTTACATGCTTAATATAAAAATTCACACTGTAAATGAAACTCAGATCGGTTCATTCTGTGCCACTGTGAAGGAAGGCTAAGAAGCATACAGTGTGAAAGCAGTCATATACCCACTGCTAAGAGGGAAAACATCAAACTATCACTTGCTTTGTGATATGTGTGATAACAACAGCAAGTTCTAAAGCCTTCCCAAAAATAACAGAACAAGCATGTTCCAAATAAGACACCATCCTTTGAAAGCTAAAATCAGGAGTGGGCAATTATGCAGGAACAAATGACCACTGGCCAAGACTCCTCGCTTCCAGTGGCATTTCTTACTTCAGCCACTAAGTGAAATATGGGTCTGGCAGATTTATTGCATTCTTTCGCAACATCTACTGCAGCAGATGAATGTACTCCA